GTGTTGGATAAACCGGGTAGGCCGAAGCTTGTAGGTTTGTGGAGAAAGGCAGCTCGGCCAGTGAGGGCCGAGATGGGAAAGTCTTGTATTAGAGGAAAGAGGGAAGGGCAGAGACCACTCGAGGCCGAGCAGCCGAAGAGTGCGTCACCACACCTATCCGTCACGCAATTCAGATCACTCATCGAATCTCCGAAGAAACCAAGCAGAAACTCCCTGTTCCTCCGCGATCTACCAACTGCAATCTCCGTAGATCCATGTCCCATACTCAACCACATTACTATGCTACGAGTATATCTAACAAGTCGATTGGTGCCTTTGCCAAGAAGACCACCATTCGTTGAAAAAGCAGCAGCAGTAAGGAGGGTAGTCTAGATCCAGACGGGTTGAAAGATCCCGCACAGTGATTTGCCTTACTTGCAGCTCGACCATCGAGGGCGGATCCTGGCTTTTGCATCGACTTGTCGATGCTTCGAGCTGCCGATGGGTTGACGATTGTTACGTCTACAAAAATGGACTTGGTGCAGAGTTCCTCTTACTTCTCCCCTGCGTGTAATCCTGGGGAGATTACCAAATCCATCTTGTATAGCCCCTTTCCCCTACCAGTGCCTGTGGTACAAGGGGAAGAATCCTCGACGGCGATGGGCATATGGCACTCGCGCAGTGTCTTGAGGACTACATTGTACGCGAACTATCCTGTTATGGAGGAAGGTTGAGGCGCCGGTGTAGGTGCAGATAAGGGAGTGGGCTCGGCTCAAGCGGTCCTTGAATGGTAACAATGCACCTGCACCACAAAGTTTGCCTGTGTCGCAGTCTGCTCGATCGTGACTCCCCAGTACACGACCGATTGACTCGAGATATAGATCAGGCAGCATTTTTCATCTGCTGACAACCCTTGCCTTGTCAAACACGACAAAACTCCCTTGCCTTTCGCTTCCTCCAAGCGGATCAATGCCCTCTCCTTTGGCATTTCCTCGCCTGCTAACTTCTGCAAGTCTTGTCTCCACCATGTGACGCACTGCTGCATGAAAGGTTTCGAAAGGAGAGCTTGGGCTCCAAAGACTTCGTAGTGTTGACCAAATTCATTTCGGCTGTAGGTAGACGGTGATTGATGTTTTACGTCAGGGTTTCCATCTTCACTGGGTTTTCCCGCCTTCCCTGCTTCCAACAGGTAAACTCCTTTGAGGGCGGGGGTTAACTCATCACTCCTGGCAAGTTTAGCCCATGACTGCCCAACAGCTTTATCAAGCTTGTCTTCGGTGATGATCTCATCTAGCTTCTTGAGTGAGTCAATCAGAGCCAATCCTGTCGGTAGCTGGGCAAGCCAGTGTGTGTTCGCAATGGTGCTGTTGTTGAAATATCATCAGAGATCGGACATACCTGCAACAAGGGTGCACGATTGTCGCCATTTTCCGGAGATAAATTACTGCGGTGGCTGCATCTAGCTGTCGGTACGACCGCGGGGCTGATGAACGCAACAAACACACACGTAGTCTGATATGTCTACGTTTACTTCCGCGAAGAAGGAAGGCGCGTAGACTGGCGCCAAAATACATTAGACTAAACGAAAAAAACCAGGCACACGCATTCACACCAGTCATTGCGGCCAGTCGGTGTATTGGCCACCCTTCTTATCTCCAGGTTGAAATACAATGCTCGCAACCAACCGTAACCAGCAAACTGGGAAATCCCTTTTCAAGGAGGGCTAAGTTGCTGGTGGTATTGGGACGAAAGACAAACAAACGGGCTACGACGAAAATGCTGGCCGCAACGCAACGAGCTTATTGTAACTGTTCGCCAAACAACAGGACACTGAAACGAACCCCATTCCCCCAACGGGGAAACGCATCATCATTGATTTTTGTTGCACCTTCGAGCGTTTTGCTACGCTGTCAACCACCACTACTGTACGAATGATGAGCAGTTTCGGCCGCGCGCGATGATCGCAAGACCCCCCTTTACTCATAACGAACGCTACATACATTAGTGAGAGTCACGGACGGGCCTTCCCGCCCTGTCTGTGTGAACGTGGCCCTTCTCGGCTGGCTGCCCACTTCCACGCAGAAAATAATAACATGGCGAGGAACACACGAACGGAGGGGGAACACCGTGTTCGTACGTACGTCGTACAACTGTACGTATTATTCTGCGTTTGTTTGGACTCACTCCTCCCTTGCTCTAGATATAAGCAAAGAGTTGTCATAAAATAATGGTAAGAAGTGGATGTGAAGCTCTTCGCAGCAGTAGCCGTTTTAGTCATCACACGAACAAAGAACGGAATAAATACAACTAATATTTATGTGAACATCCCCGCTTCATCTTCGCGCCAGTCGTCCCCGCTGTCGCCAAATGCCAATGGTCAGAGAGGGACATGACGCTGACTGAATTAGTACAGAGAGAGGGTAGGCCGTCAAGCGTGTCTGTCTCCTCTAATGATTTTTCTATAATAAAAAACGTAATATTCGCCAGTCATTCGCCAGTCAGTACCGTCACGAAATGCAGTGAATGAATAGAGGTGTCGAGAAGAAAGGCAGACAGAAAACAAACAATTCTCAAGCAAGCCCCGTTCTCGCCAAGTAGCATAATTTTTCATTTTCGAAGTTGGGTCATGGAGGCTTGGTGAACTTCTCTCAAAAAGTCTTCGAAGCCGGTGATGACTTGCGACACCGACGCGAAATTCGTGTGCAGAATGTTGCCGCTCAGGCTCGCCAGCTTCGGTGCTAAGGGAGCGAGTGAATGAATAAGTGGACAAGGCAGGGAGCAACCAAAGACAGAGCAGACGAAGACAAGAGGTCGATCACGGGAAAATGACAAACGGGGATGAGAGCGAGACGCCGTAAGGATGCAGGTCCCCGCACAAGCAGGGAGGTGGTGGCGCTTTTCAAAGCTTTACTGTTCCACAAGAACAACAGCAAACAAACTAGGAGAGAGAGTGCGAAAGCCTAAGGGTACGTACGTCTGTCTAACTAAAGAAAGATGCCGACAAGATCATTCCAAAACCACCCTCCAAAGTGAATGAAGTGGTGTCTTCCTTCAGCTGCTACATGTAGTACGTAGTTGTCGAGCAACGAAGCTTTGAAAAACTACGATAACACCCTTCCTTCTTCTGCGGAGACCCGCATCCTTACGGTAAGATAATGGGTGGCGGACGGAATGCCTGTGTACTCTATGTAGTAGGTAAAATCCATTCGGAATGCAAAGTATTAAGAATCACTGACATCCGATCCGTGTACCAGGACGGTACGTACGTACATGAACAGGGTATGTATGTATGTGTACCGGCAGTTTTTCTTGTGTTGGAATCCACAGATCAGAGGTCGACGTTTTTAGTCTAACCTATCTATGAACCCATCCATCGACCACGAATGGTGTGTATATTTCTGGTTTAATCATTCAAGCATCACGACAGCAGAAAATAAGCTGACGGCGTTTGACCGACTTGATGGCTGGTTTCATCACGATCTTATGGTAGGTAAAGCACTCTCACTAGCGATGCGACGAAACCCAACACACTTACTTCAAGTGTGCTTACCGGCAGACACATGCTGCATATTTACTGTTTGCGCCTGCTCGCTGGTGTGTATGTATGTAGTACGTATGTATGCGTATGTATGGATGTAAGTATTGTACCGTTCAGCGAAGAAAACACATTTCCCACAGAAAAGCGACGCCTGCTTGCTGCCTGCCGCCGTTTTCCCTCCACGGTGGTGTAGGGAACACACACGCAGATAAGAAACAGTGGCTTCGGCCTTGAAGCTTCGCGCAACCTACACCGACAACCCAGCTGCAGCTAGCTACTACTACAGTTAGGCACAGCTGGCGCACTCGGCGACCGGGCATGTGCTAGCATATGTATGTGTCTGCAACAGAGAGGAAAATGCACTCACGCAGTCGGGATCGTGGGGCCGGGGTCGGGCTAGCTCTGTGCGCGATGACCTGGCACTGCCTGTTGTCGAGCTTGGGCCGCTTCACGAACTGGTCGAACCTTTTCGGGGGCCCAAACAATCAAGGCAGAGAAATATACATACATACATGCACACATACATATATGGTCATGGACGGTAACCATCATGCGTGTGGTTTCACCATGTGATCATGAATTGTTTCAATGGAGAGGCAACAGACAGATAATAGATAGGCAGCAGGAGGTGGAGGGGGTGGCGAAGGGCTGCATAGACAATGAATCACTTTTGATAGGCAAACGGGGCCAATCCCTTCGACTACAAGTGGACACAGGTAGTTCTGATCCAGCTATTCCCCTTCAACCTGACAAGTTGAACGTGCTGCTGTACACACTCCGTGTTCGGTAGCATTCGACCTTCGTCATAATCATGGTGGTTTCGTGTTGGAGCTTGTTTCCGGAATTGTCCCACTCGAACACACCTTTCCCCGTGCAAACCATCTGCACCCAGGTGCTCGCTCCTCCCTTATTTTCCTACATCAACTACACGGGGGTGATGCTTCTTGTCGCTAGCTCTGACTACGTTGGCAGCCTTTCGCGGGAATGTGGGGAGCATGGAGGAGGGGCAACTTTTGGGACAGAGAGTTCAACGAAATGAATACTACAGTAGGCCCAGCCTGACTTTCGTATATATATATGTGGGGCCGTTGTCGAGAATTATACTTGGGATTAAGCGTGGAACTCTGCGTTAACATTCGACACGTTCTTCAATTTTTTCCTCATTCTCAGCCTCGCTTTCTTCGTTTCTTATGGACAGGGGGGAATACATGTACTGCTGCATGCAGCAGTTGTTGTAGGAACAGGCCTGTCCTTATGCCCAGACGTCTCATCTGCCTGCATTAAACCGCCAAAACCGAATCGAATCTTGAAAACAAGAGAAAAATACGCAAAAGGAGATCCGACCCGGATGTGGCGACAGGGGGGGGGACCTCAAGCAGCAAGCGTAGTGCGCCAACAACTCTTCCCAGTCTATTTACCCCAACGTTCGGGAGACCACAGACCACGCATGGGACCTATTTTGAAGCTCCCATTGCCACTTACTTGCCGTAGGTGACTCACCAGATGCCGACCTCGATATCGTGAGTTGGGATTTCCGGGTTGTAGACCAGCATGACGCCGTCGACGTCCTTCATGATTGCCGGCCAGCACGACTCAAACCTTGCGTCGGGCGCACGCGAGCAAAGCGTATTATTGCCGGAGGGTCGTGGGCAGGCGCGGCGGCGGCGGAGGGGAGAAAGGAGCTTCGTTGCCTGGAAGCAACCATCGAATAAGCAGAGACGCTTGCGCACGTCCATACCCCTCGAGGCGCAGCTACAACATATCTATGGATACTTCCGTATCAGAATTTTCCATAACAGCAACAAGGGTACTTATGTTGTTTGGTGCTCGAGAGAATCAACTGCTGCGTGCGTGTATTTACCAATCTGCTGTCCATTCATCATGCGTGATGTAGGAATAGTCCACACCTCACACCGCACAAGCACAGGGGAGGTGGCGCGGAATGTGTATAATGTACTTTCTCCATCCGCACACACGCGCACGCGGGTTGCTATGTGTAGCGTATTCAGGTGTGGTCGGGCTTCAAATATTCTTGAGCAGTGGCCAACTTGTCGCCTAGATAAGGCAGCATCAAGAACCCGCAACTCGTTTACCTCTGCACATCACCGGTACTCACGCTTGATCTCCAGATACGTCCCATATCTCGATAGGAACCTTATTTCCTGTGACTCCTGGTTGCTTCTCGCACTCCAGAATTCTGCCAACAGATCATAGCGTCAACGTGGAGGATATTACATTACCGGAGAAGCTCGGCGGCGAAACGAACAGAACTACAATGCATGCAGGTTGGCGGGGGCCTGCAAATGGGAATCGTGCACTAAATGTTTCTCCGTTGCCCGGTAGAGATCGACCGCTTCTCGCACTCCAGAATTCTGCCAACAGATCATAACGTCAACGTAGAGGATACTAGATTACCGGAGAAGCTCGGCGGCGAACCGAACAGAACAACAATACTCCGCGACCTGCCCCCCCCGTCCCTGGGGTATGCCGAGGTTCCGCAAGCGGATCTAGACCTCGGAAGACCACCCAGCAACGACGGATATACGGTCCCTAGTACTGTTTAGAGGTTGTTGTTGTTGTTGACTTCACATTAAACCGTATGCCAGTTGCTAAATGCCAAAATCTAGCAAAGACTCTCGGCCCGTGGTCACGAAAGTGCTGGAGCCATCTGAGGATCTAAAGAACACGCACACGTAGCAAGAAAAAGGTGTACAAGAGCCCGAAGAGGTACTACTACACCTATATATAATCCCTGCAGCACCGTACGCGTGCCCAAAACTGAACTACACGTCCGTCTCACCGTTCGACTACAGCAACATCACCCCCTACTTGTCCCACTCTGTACCAAAACGAATGATTGCCGACTACAGCATAC